CACTTTTAACTTCACTTGGATGTTTTTCCTTCCATGGCATCCTTACTATATATTATGACAATTAACACGAAGGAAAGGCCCTTGCCAACACTTTGAGAAGTTGGAAAACATAGAATACGTAAGTAATTATTTAATTAAATATGAACAATGAAATATAAAACATAATGCTCATGATTTTAGAATGATTTTTACATTCAAATAATTATTTAAAAAAGTTCTTAAGAAAACATACATGGATTCATAACAAGTCTTTTGCGATATTGAAATCCTAATTCTGATTTGATAGAAAGTTTCAAAGAAAACATAATTTGCATAATTTATGAAATAAAATGATGTGAATTCAAAGAAAATTCAATGAAAAACTTAATGACCATTAACATTTTTGGTCTAGTGTGTGTATTTATGCTGCAAGAGGATATCAATAACTCAAAGAAAATTTGAAAAAAATGTTGATGAACATGGAAAAAAGATCTGATTGAGAATTTTTTTTTTTGTAATGTTTAAAATCTAATCAATAAAATATATAGATTTAAGACTCAATTTAGAATGGGTATATAGGTTAAGGTTTATGTGGGTTTAAAAACTTTAATCCCTAAAATTTTTTGTTTTTTTATATTTGATCTTTTATTTTTAAAATTTTATGTTTTGATTTAAAATTTTATTTTTTTTATATTTAAATTTTTTAGTTTGAAAAAAGAGATAGAGTCAACAAAAATAAAAGAAAAGAGATAAAGTTGCCAATTATTATCCACATTCTAATAATTTAAAAATTCGATATAGATATTAACAGATCTATTTGGTAAAAAAAAGTTTTATTTAGATATTTTTAATCTTTTTATATTATTAAAAAAATAAATTAAGATTAAATTTCATTTGAGATAATTTTTATTTTTTAAAAATTATTAAAAATTATTTTGAGATTAGAAATGAGTTTATAAAAGTGTTTTTCAAGTGATTTCAGGTCCAAAAAAAAAGTAGAAAGTAGGTTCCCTGAATCCAATAAGACTCATGACTTTTCACCCCGTGCATTGGATTGCTGGAAAAAAGTTTAGTTTCTTCGCAATTTTGAGGATTAATGATTAATCTACAGGTCGTGGAAGGAACTTGTGCATTGGAGTGTGAGGCCCTGAGTGCGAAGCTTGTGTCCTTGTATGCGAAAAGGCTACCACTGTTTCCATGAAAATCAAATGCTCCATAGTCTAATTAATTCTTAGCGCTACGTCCACACTATCCATGCACGTAATAATCCAGAAAGAAGAAAAAAGATTAATTTATATTAATTGTTTCCTGGTAATATTTTTGGATGCAGGATTTATATGAATCGTTTCCTGGTAATATTTTTGGATGCAGGTGATATATTTTCAGAAGATTGAAAATGTTATACCTGATCATTTAAGGAATATGCAATTTGACTACGCTAGATATAATGATTTAGCACTTTTTTGAAGAAAAAAACAATCATAATCTTTAAGCACCAAGTAAAGCTTCTAGGAAAACACACAAGGCAGCTAGAGATGCCAGCCCAAGAACAGCAGGAAACAAATATAATAATGATATATAGTATTCGAGTTGCTAGCAGTAATGAGTATGAATGATCACACTAGATTTTACATATAATAAAAAGAATGCTTGATGGAATATGAATACTGATGATAGCGCGGTTCTCTTACTTAATTAATCACCACCACAGCCACCGCCATCACCATCCCCGCCACAACCTCCGCCACAGCAATCGATAGTGATCTCGACCTCACGTTTTTTCCCATCCTTCTTTTCTTGATCGTTTTCACCAGCATCGACCCCTTCAGGTTGATTGCACGCACAAACACAGACGCAAAGGAAAATCAGAATCGCTACCACTAGCAGTGCCATAGCAGCTGCTTCCATAGGCTCCCCAACCTTACTAGCTAGTCGATTGCGTAGGCTTTAAACTTTCGGACGCTAATTCATACGGTTGCAACCTATATATGCACCTGAACTCCATAGCATCAAAATTCTCCTGGTCTGTTCCGACTACCACGTAGGGTTCCCCCCACCTTCCTAACTTGTTTTCCTATTGGTCTGCTGCAACATGAGCGTTAAAATATCATAGTACAGTGCGTGTTCTTTGTATCTTTCTTTTGTATCCTTCTAGTCTGGCCATAAAGGTCAGGCTTTCCTACAAATTATAGGTGATCGTGGCCTTAATTAGAATAAAAAGATTCCTAGATTTGATAACGAATATTCTCGGATATCTGAAAACCCTGTGAGATAAGTGTTCAATGCAGTCTATTATATAAGAAGTTTACTTGGTTTTCCTCTGCATAACGTTGTTTTTTTGGATAAAATCTGCATAACGTTGTTTGCTTAATCTTCTTGGTTGCATTTGATAATAACAAGAATTTTTTTTGTTATTTTCGTGTGGACAATTAGCTGCCTTTTTTTAATGCATACAACGCGTACTTGCCTCTATGCTCGTCCCAATGTAAAATAATTTCAATATGCCAACAAATAATTACAACGGAAAATTAGTAGATTTTCCGTAGGATGTATACGATTGATAAAGTTTTAAAGCAACTATCTATAAATTTTATGTTTTTTATTTGTTATAGTATAATGTTATTTCTATCTCAGTGTTGTTTCTATAAGTGATGTGTTTATTATGATAAACAAATTCTAGTATTTTAAGTTAAGAATTTGATCTGTAATGATAAAATATTTTTAATTATTATTGATGTTTTTTATGATAAATTTGAAATTTTTTATTATTGTATCATTCTAAATAATATTTCAGATAAAATTTTCTATAGTTTTTTTTTATTTTTATATTATAAATGAATGAATTGTATTACTCTCAATAATATTTTGAATATTAACCCATATAAATTTATTATTTTTATATTAAAATTGAGTAATAATAAATCATTATCTTTAATAATATATTGAATATTAATTATTTTGTAGGTTTTTTATTCTTATATCAAAATTGAATGATATTTTAGGATTTTTGGCTATATATTTTAAAAATATTAAAAATTTATTTTTAGCAAGAAAATATATTATTCTAGATTAATTCCATCAAACTCTTGTAAATATTTATTTTAATTATCAATATATAAAATAAAATAAAATAAAATAACTTTAAAAATTACTACATGATATTGCGATGGCGTAAATTCTAGAAGGCTTCTCACTCTCCCCTGAACTCAACATCTCAGAAAGAAGACCAGGGTGCACTGTTTGTAAAGGATTCCTGCATATCCCCGTAGAAAAAGAGGAAGTCAATCAGTTGGAGGAACAGCCTTAGCCTCTACTGCTCTTGTGGTTGTGTTTGTTTCGCTTTTATTTTTATATTTATTGCGGGATACTAAGTTGATGCTTTTGTCGTTATGTTTTTTGTTTTTAATAATGGGTCTCACTGCTAAAAAACAAAAACAACAGCAAAAGTCATTAATTTTGTAGTATTTGGAGAAAAACTCAAATGTTTTTTATTTACTAAAATTGTCATTTCAAGATTAAAAAAATAAACTTAAAAAAAAAAATTATTTAAAAAAATGTCAAATTTTGGATCGACTTGAGCATGGGATATGGTCGACCCCAGGTGTAATCTTGTATCAACAAAATCATATAGAGTACTTTATAGCAACAAACTTGTAAACTCACAGCCATATGATATGAACATGATGAATTAATTATTGATCATGAAGCTTAATTACCTTGGCCCCTAATTTCAACGTATTGAATCTTTTGTTTTTTAGAGCTGCGTACACATCCCTGAACGTAATAATCCAAGAAGAAGAAGAAATATTTATATTAATGGTTTCTTGATTTCATACTGAAAAACAATAATTTTGGATACAGGTGATACATTTTCAGAAGACTAAAAAGTTTATACCTTGATCTTTTGAGGATGCAATTCCATGAAGCATGCGAATTCCTTAAGCACCAAGTCAAGCTTGGAGGGAAACACGCAAATATACAAGCCAGCTAGAGATGCCAGCCCAAGAACAGCAGAAAACAAATTTAAGAACGATATATAGCAATCGAGTAGCTTGCACTAATCAGTATGGATGATTACTAGCTTTACATATAAGATAAAAAGAATGTTTGATGTAATATGAATACTAACGATAGCGGTTCTCTTAGTTGATCACCATCACTACCACCACAGCCATCGCCATCACCACCTCCGTCATTGCAACCGATAGTGATCTTGATTCTCGACCTCGCGTTTTTTCCCATCCTTCGTTTCTTGATCGTTTTCACCAGCATCGATCCCTGCACCAGAATTGGCGCGCGCACAAACAAAGACACTAATGATAAGTCAGAATCACTACCACAATCACTGTTATAGCTACTTCCATAGGCTCCAGCCTTACTAGCTAGTTAACTAGGCTTTAAACTTTAAATCAATGTTGTTAAAATGCAAGTTGACTCGTGATTTTACAAGTTAATTAATGTTTATCATGGTTAAAAATTCAAAAAGTGATAAAATCATGATGAAATTGTGTTAACTCGTTAAAATCAGGTGAAATCGTGAAAAAACGCAATTCTAAGACCAGTTTTATGAGTTTAAATGGAATATATGCACTGCACCAAAAACATTAACCCTAGCCTCTCACTCTCTGAGCCGTTCCACAACAAACAAACAACTTATAGGTCTCTCTTTCC